AAAAAAAAAAAAAAAAAAAAAAAAAAAAAAAAAAAAAAAAAAAAAAGCTGTTTACCTTGAAGTAAGGCCTAAGGTAGGCAGTGATCTCTAGCAAGATACTCTCATCTCCACTGTCAGCCCTTAAATGAGGTCAGGGAAGGGGTGGATCCTGGCTCCATACCTTTCATCACTCAGGTTCATTGCATACACCTGAGCTCCCCTGGGTTGGCCCTGCCTTCCCACCAGGTGCTCCATCACTGCTTCAAGCTGTGACTTAGCATTGAATGAGGAACTATATGACATGAATGAATAATCAAATCAATCTATAGAATCACAAAGGTTGGAAAAGATCTCTAAGGTCATCTGGTTAGACCATCAACCCATCACCACCATGCCCACTAATCACATCCCTCGGTACCACCATGGTATTGGATGGACCAATGAAAATGATTGGATGGACTGATATAAAGCCCCCAGTTTTTGCACTGTGAATATATTTTGGTGCAGTAAACTACAGGAGCTCTCTGGAAATATATTAAGACTGAGCTCCTCTTGTTTCTTTTTCTGCTTTTGCCTCCTATGGCTACAGGAAGGCCAAAAGATCATTTGACATCTTAGCAGTCAGTGCCTTCTCTCTATCTGTGGGGTGGATGACAGTGGATGACTCACAGGGATGTTATTGTTTTGACAAGTTTCTTTGGGAGTCACGTAGAGAAGCAAACACCTTCTCTTGAGGTGGCAACCTCAGTGAAGATCTTAATCAAGAAGCATCACCACCGTTGGGTCTGTACATGCAGCCTGCTCCCACAAGGATGGTTGCCATCAGATTTACCGTAATGCTGTGAGACCTTTCCTCTTCATGAGAAACATGCCCGAAGGGAGAAGAAATTCCCAAGTATTTCCAAAACACCTTTCCTCATTTCCTAGCTATCCTTTTTTTTTTTTTTCAGCATTGGAGTAAACATCTTTTATCTCCCTGATGTTCTGCGCTACAATCTGGACTCCACCAGCGCACATGCAGTGACTACTTTTAACTTCAGGAGGTTTGGCTGAAGGCTTTACCTTTCCATCAGCACCTTCCATAGCCCCCCAGATTTGCACTATCAGATGAACTTCATATAATAATAATTTTCCCCTGTTAAAGTTGGATCTCGAGCTGTTTTAGCAGCAATGTTTGGGTTGAAAGCTTAGGTAGATACTACAGCAATTTATGGATGATTTATTATACTTTAGACAGCTGCACTGTATTTGACTTGGCTTAGTTTGACTTGGGTAAATCCTTCAGTATTCTCCGAGTCCTCTGAAATAATGACTGTAAAATGCAAAACTTTGTCTATTTCAGAATTTGGGATTTGTTGCAACAAAATTAGCTGTTCTTACTGACACACTCACCTCTGGTTCAATGTGTTCCCTTGGAGGTGGTTGCCTCTAGTATTATATTAAAGAAGGATCCTGAAGGAAAAGCTCTACTCTAACTTTGTAGAACTGTTCCACTTTCAAAACAAAGCTCTTATCATTCCAGAGCAATCAGGTCCATTGCTTGGCAGAATTTCTCAAATTTCCAGATCTGAAATTTTCTTTGATGTGTGAGTTATGGAACTTGATGAGCCCAGAAATCATGCAGGCTGGTGCTGATGTGGAGTGAGTTAGGAGAAAAAGCTTGCTATTTTGTAAAAATGTTGTTGACAAATCATTAGTCTGAGCTTCAAAAGATGCTGAGATAAAAATGGAAAATGGAAAAAAGAGAGCCAAAACACTGGCTTGCCATACATTTTGTATGGCCTGAATCAGAAATGGCGAAGTGTCAGGAGTTTGCAGCTGTGATACAGGAATTTCATTTATCATCAAAAGGAGAAAGATCTCCTTCATGCTGAGATCAGAACTGGGCTAACTGCACCGTTTCCTTGTCCAGCCTTCTCTGGGGTGTTCCAGCAGCTGGGAGCAGTGATTTATGCCATTGTGCTACCTGAGTAAGCAAGGCATGTGGGTTGCAGTGCGGATCTTCTTGTCCTGCATTTGTAGGTCAACAGGCTCAAAGGATCCTGTCCCAGAGTATTACAGCAGTATTGGTAACCATAAAAGAAACGATTGAAGCAAGGGGATAGGTAGAATGATGTGTTTTTTTAACTGAGTTTACTGGTGTATTTGGGAAGAGCAGTTTTCAGATACGTGAGCCCCTCGTTGACTCTGGAATAACGACATCAGCCTGAGAACTCAGCACCACTCAGAGCTTGGGTACATGCCTCAGATCATGTCCCAGCTGAGGCGTGGTGGGTTTTTGTTAGTCACACAGAGAGTGGTGATAGGTTAATTATCTTCTGGGGCAAGGAGAGAAAGCTAATTATTTCTGAAAGATAGCTATATTCACATACAGACAGTGTGCATGAGTGTACATGTGTAGTGCATATAAAAATTAATGTTTCAGTCTCACATTTTGATCCAGAATTATAAATCTCTTACTACCTCTATATAACACTGTCCATATATAACGAGGAAAGAAACTTGCTTGTCTCCTGATCTGCTTCCTACCAGCACCATCAGCTGTTTCCTAACGAGTTGAAAACAAAGCTGTGCCTGGCAGTGCTGAAAGCAATCTGTGCTCTGCCATTTGTTGTTCAGTGATGGCATCATCCCAGCTGCATGGTTGTCCCAGACAATGCGTCTGTCACCACTTGGCCAGCACCCTCAGAGTGGCCCCATCCCAGCTCTGTCCTGGCTGGATGTGCCCATAGGGTGCCACCACCATACAGCCCGGGGTGAGCATGCCTTCTGAAACTCATCGTGGCTTCATGAGAACATTTCATAGAGTCACAGAATCTTTAGAGTTGGAAAGGACCTTTAAAGGTCATCTGGTCCAATTCCCCTGCAATGTATGGGGACATTTACTAACCCATCAGGTTGCCCAGTGCCTGGGCCAGCCTGGCCTTGAAAGTCTCCAGGAATGGGGCATCCACCCCATTCAACTAGGCAACCTGTGCCAGTGCCTCACTATCCTCATTGTAAAGGACGTTTTCCTTATATCCAATCTAAATCTACCCTCTTGAAGTGTTATGTTGCTTTGGCTCACAGAATCTGTGCAGAACCCAATGGGGCAACCCAACCTACAGGTGTCTGGCCATCTGGCTGCTCAACCCCCAGCCATTTCCTCAGTGGGAGGGCTGTGACTTGGTGACATAATCCCCCTGTGCCCAGAGGTTATAGGGGTGAGGAGCTCCTTGCTGTGGTGTGTTGTGATGGTCCATCCTATCAGGGCAGGAGGAATGCTGCTCTTTGCTTGTGGTTTCATAGAATCATAGAATCACCAGGGAAGGAAAAGTCATCTGAGGTCATCCAGTCCAACCATCCACCTATCATTAATATTTCCCACTAAACCACGTCCCTCAGTACAACACGTAAACGTTTCTTGAACACCTCCAGGGACAATGACTCTACCACATCCCTGGGCAGCTTGTTCCAGTGCTTCTTGTGGTCTCCAGCACGCTTCCATGCACTGATTTCTTATGTGATAAAGGAAGGGTAGAAGAGGGCAGCTTGGTCCCATTCCCCTTGCACACAGGGCTAGGGCAGAGGCTTTGTCACGGGAAGAGGGCACTGGTGGGGAGCAGAGCAGACCGGGGAAGGTGGCTGCAGGCAGGAGGGAGGGGAGAGGGCTGCAATTGGTACCAGATGCCCTCAGAAGCTAATGACCTGACAAACGCTGCGCTCGTAAAACAAATTCTTTAAAAAGGAAGCAAATGGAAATATAAGCTAGTGAAAGAATTTGCAGCAGTTGCCCTGAAACCATTTCTCACTTCATAAACAGGTCTGCATTGAAAAAACAGCCCCTTTTTTCTTGTTCTCCTTTGTGGTCCCCTCCCGTGCCATTCCTCCCCTCTGTCTGTGCCCACCAGCTCTTTGGAGGCTGTGGCCCACAGGTTTCCACTGTGCCTTTGTCCAGATCTGACAGCACATTGCGTTCCCTTTGCATCCCCACTGGCAGCAGTTTCTGTGCATTTGTGGAATTCCTGGCCGTGCGTCCTCGGCTGGTGGGGTCGGGCAATGCAAGAGGCAAAAGCAGCACAGTGTTTGCTTTTTGTGTGCCAAACAGTGCACAAAGCTGTGGGCAGTCCCACGCAAAGCGAGGCTTGGCCAGGGAGCAGGGGGAGTGCTAGGGGCTGCTGGCATTTTGGCACTGATACTGCTTGCAGATGGTTAAAAAAGCAAATGAAACAAAACAGCCCTGACTACCAAACGTCCTGGGCATTAGCTTGTGGGAGCAGTTTTGTTAATCCCATGTCGTGCCCTAATTCCGTCCCAGTTAATTCATCCATTGGTGCATTTCACTGATGGAGAACTTGGTCTCCTGGCTAATGTTGCTCTCTGCTCTGGGATATTTTGTGATGCTTAATCAATGAACAGCAGGTTTTTGGCAGGGAGCTGCTGTAGTAAGGAAAGGGCTGCTTGTTTCCTGGGAACAGGTGACACCTTGCAGATCTCCTCAGCCCTCTCACAACCTGAGATGGTTCAGAGAGGACGGTTGTTCTTCCCGTATCCATGTCTCCATGTCTCACCTTGGTGGCCACAGAGGAGCTTTAGAGCTGGGCAGATGCGTGTTGAGGTAGTCTTGTATGTGTGTTGAGGTAGTCTTGTTGCCAAAGAGCCTAGCAGGTAGTTGGAGGGACATCTCATGGTTGGCTCTCCAGTATCTGCAGAGTTTCCTTCTCCAGCTAAACCCTCTCCTGCAGTTGGACATCTGCTGAGGGTTCTCTGATGTCTTGTGTAGAGTTTGACATACCTGTTGCCCTTCTAATGGGTAGAGGATTTATCGTAGAGTCATAGAAAAGCCTAGGTGGGAAGTGACCTTAAAGATCATAAAATTCTAACTGCTGCCATGAATAGGGTTGCTAACCACCAGACTAGCCTGCCCTTTGCTCCATCCAGAGCTCCCTTCATCTTTCCTTACACATGCATCCAAGACCTGCCAAGCATCCCATGCAGGTGCCAGCTGGCCAGTCCCTTGCTGCAGAATGCTGGGAACCTGGGGCTGATCCTTCCTCTTCTCCTCCACAGCTGTGCGCATGGTGCTTGCACAGGGCTGGGAAGCTGCACGCAGCCACTTCTCGCTCACGTCGCCAGCCTGAACTGCTCCTCAGATGGCCCGAGGCACATGGAGTGCTCCGTCACCTGTGAGCAGGGCTTCATGCTACGCTCTGGCAGTGGGAAGATCTTGGGCTATGCACAGGTGAGTACCACTGGGATGGCAGTGACTCTTTAACTGACTGCTGATTTCCAAAGGTTTCCAACCCCAGGCTCCTTGCAGCTTTTCCAGCACATGGCAGTCTAACAGCAGTTCTGATGCTGGACTGCAGTGCTGGTTGTCCTGCTTTGCTGCCATCCTCCTGCGTCCCCAAGCTGTCCTCAGCTGTTCCAGGCTAAGTGCCACAGCAGGGGACATCTCAGGCTAAGGCAACACACTCCTGCAGAGGGAGAGGCAGCCATTTCTCTTCTCTGGAAGGAAGGGTTAAACATCCCACGGACATTTTCTCTTTTAAAGTTGAAGTTAGTGGCTTGGGGAAAAAATGAAGTCATTGCAAAGTGACTATATTTAGACGGCTACAGAGAACAGCCTCTGGGAGCTTTTCTTCCTTTGTGCTTTCTTGCCTGAGCCTGTGAGGCAGGGCAGAGGTCAGCATGAAAAGGCTCATCCTGCTTTCCAGAAGGCCAGGATCTGCCTTGTGAATCTCTGAGCCAGCTCCACTCTCAGCCAGTGTTGAGGAGACCTGGGATTGGCGGTCCTCAGAGCAGAGCAGCTTGGATGTGGGCAGTCACCTTGGCAGGGCCTTGGGCACAGTGTGTCCTATCCTTAGCTTATTCCTGGAGAGGGGACCGAAGTCTCCAGGACTGAGCTGGCTACCCCACAAGCTCTAGGCCGAGTGTGAACTCACCCAAATGGAGACAGGCAGAGGTGAGTCAGGCCACGGGCACAGGGTGGGTCCTGTTTTCTTCAGAGATCCCCAAGTGCTTACCCTGTTAGGCATTGGGAAGTGCAGTGAGGCAGGAGGGATGCACCCCTCAGCCCTTAGTCACTGGTGAGGTTATTAATTACACAGCACCACAGCTCTGTGAGCCAAGGCAGGCCCTTATCACAGAAGAAAAACAAAATAGACGTGAAGCCATATGAAATAATTCTGCCTTGGGTGACAGTTTTTCTTTGTTGGGCATCAAGATGGGAAACTTCTGGACAGAGCTTTGGCGTGTGGCTGTCATAACTGGTAGCAGCATACAGATGTCCTGCCCTGAGCCCAAGTGATCTTCTATGTTGGGTGTGGGAGAGGGCACCCTGGGGTATCTGATATGGAGCAGTCCTTTGGTGGAAGGGGGAAGACCAAGCAAAGAGGTGCCACATAGTCCTGTCCTAGCCTGCAGATGAGAGGAAGGAGAGCATGGCATGGCCAGCAGGTTGGTTTCCATGCCCACAGCTCCACATTTCCCCAGCTCTGCAACAATTTGGCTATATGATCCTACATGCTAGTATACATCTCCAGGCATTTTTAGGAAAAACTGGATGCCCTCTGCACCATGACCTTGCCGTGCACCAAGGAGCACCCACAGCTTTCGGGTTCCAGCAAAACGCGTTGCCTGGGAGCACAAATCACAGGTCTGAGTGCACAAGAAGCATGATGTTGCTCAGATGAGGAAGAGGCAGTGAGAAGAGTTGAAAGAAATCTTTCTTTTCTGCACATCCTCTTTGGGTTAGGAGTCTGGGGATGGAAATCATAGCACACCATCATGCACTGCTCTGTTTTGGCAAGGTCAGTACCCTGTATTAATCATATGTAGGGCTGGAACCCCTACAGCTGGGACTCAGGCTCTTATGCAGGCCCCCAGCTGTGTAAGAGGGGCTATGTAATGACAACCTGAAAATGAGATTTTACAAATCTGATTTCAGTGAAGTCTGTGGGCATGACAGGATCAGGACATTTGGAAGACCAATCAACAGGAGAGGTGCCCATCAACACCTGAGTTAAGACTTGATCTTACGGGAAAAAAAGTGTTAGTGTGCAGAGCTGGGATTAACTTCTTCCTTAAGAAACTGTTGTGTATTTTCAAGTGCTTACATTTTCCTTTAAAGTTAGTAAAACACTGCATTAGAGCGCTCTTGCTGGGGTCTGATGGAGACTTGCTTTCTCTGTAGCAGGAGGTGGTGCTGACATGCAGTTCGGGGCGGTGGGACAGATCTGTGACTTGTGATCCTGTTGACTGTGGTGTCCCTGACCAGTCACACGTCTACTATGCGGAGTTCTCCTGCCCCAAGGGGACCACCTACCTGAAGAGATGCTCCTTCTCCTGTATCCACCCCGCCAAACTTCGAGGTACAGTCTGGCGTGCTGAGGGATTTAAGACTCCCTTTCTGGTGCCTGTCCAAGGTTGTTCAAGACTGAGCAGTGATATTTTGAATTTCCCAATTTGCTTCTGCCAACCAGGTGGACCTTTGAGACTCCTCCTCAAATGGTGGGCACACATCCCTTTTGAGCAGGGGCACCATGGCATGGGGATACTCTCTGTGATCCCCATTCCTGGTTTGCAGCCCACATCCTCAGGGATGTCTTCTGCTAACTGGTGAAGTCTGGTTGGCTGTGGCATTGCACAGATGAGTGAAGCAAGAGTGCAGACAAACAGAGAGGATTTCAGAGAACCGCAGATGGCCTGGTGCCTGGCGGCTGTGGGAAATCATGTGGTTCAGCAGGCCTGGGGCCTTATAACGCCATAGAGACTGATGCCCACAGCTGCAGAGCAGTCTCAAGATGTGCACCACCCAGACACACAGCAGTCCTCCAGACACACCACGGCCTGGCTTTCATTCTGCCGACTCCATCAATACCCGCAGGAATGTTTTTAAGCCAAGTCGGAGAAAGAGAGCTACTGTTCCTGTCTATGCAAGGCTGAGCTGGATGGGATTTCGAGGGTAATTGCCTTGACAGCTTCAAGCATTGGGACTTTATGTGAGTTTCCACCAGTGCCTTCGCTCTGAACAATCGCATACAACAAATCATTTTAATGGGTGCCCTATTTTACGGCGACATTTATAGCCGAAAAGCATGAAAATCATTTACTGTTTTTTTAGCTAAATCTAAGGAGCAAAACCGGTAGAGAATTAAGGTCTCATTTCATGACAGGAGGGAGCGCTGCAGATCCCAGTGTGAGCTGATCAAAGGGCAGCGCCCGAGCGACAGCTCGACGGGCCAAGCTTCACACAGAGCCATGCCGTTGCCTTCAGTGGGTCAACTGAGGGCAAGCATGAAGCTGATATTTCCCTGACAGCCTCCTCTTGTTCCTGCTAAAGTCAATGGGAGGTTTGCCACGGGCTCCCTTGGCGTCCCATCCACGGGTGGCTTCCAGCAGCTGACAGCGGTCCCGGTGGGGCTCCGCCAAGGCCGACAAGGCGAGGGGGACTGCCGAGTCGTCAAGGCAGGAACGTGTCTGCTGCTTGTTCTCCCCAAAGGCTCTTGATGCTCATAAATACTAAGAATAGGCAAGGAAAGGATTACATGGCTCCTGTCACGGCACTCAGAGGTGGGGACAGCCCATGCACCACAGCTGTCAGGAATGCTGGCGCTGATCAGGAGCACAGCCTTGCCCTTGTCTATGAGCTGTTGTAGGCAGAGAGGTGAGCCTATAAAAAGAAAATGATGCTTGGAGGAGCTGCCTGGCTGTACAGTGAACCTGCTGGAGGCCCAATACAAAGCTCCCAAGAGAAACCCTCAGTTCTTCAGTTCTACTTTTCTTCTTGCTCAGCAGGAAGCTGCATCCATAGCGCGTGGTGGATGCAGGCATGGGCTCCTCTGGCAGGTCGTATGGGGTGAATGGAGTTGAGCTGAACTAAACATGAGGAAGGGCCCATGTTTGCGTTTTTGTCATGCACGAAAGCCCTCAGCTCACCAAAGGCTCTCCTCAGGTATCACCAGAGAGAGGGCTTTTAAGGGGGAGCTTGGGGGAAATATGCATTTCTACAAATCAAGAGCATTTCTCCATCCCTTTGAAGCTGTCCAACTGCACATGTAATCTTTGTATGTATTGCCTCCCATGGTGTCATTACCACTCTAACAAGAGGATGCGTGCTGGTCGCTCAGATCTTCCCTCAGAGGTTCTCCAACTGTGACCCAAACTTTCTACTTCTCTCCTGGGTTCAGGGATGAACCAATGGCTGACGTGCCTGGAGGATGGGCTCTGGTCGCTCCCCGAGGCCTATTGCAAGCTGGAATGCGATGCTCCACCTGCCGTGCCCAACGCCAGGCTCCTGGTCCCACGCTGCATGCAGGGCAACCACGACGTGGGCTCCGTCTGCCGCTACAAGTGCAAGCCTGGGTACCACGTGGCGGAGAACACAGTGGGCAAACCTAAGAAGTAAGTCTGGGATGGGTCTGCTGTCACTTCTTCCTTCTCGTGAACAAAGAGGACAGGTCGTGGTACTCTTCTCCATCAAAGCACTGCTTCGGCTGCTGGAAGAGATATGAGGCAGAGCAGCTTGCTCTCATTCTTAGTTCTTCAAATAAGAGAGGTGTTCCCCCACTTTAGAATAAAGCAGATGGGAACTCCATATAAGCTGCTGTGTATATTAAGCGCCTTAACCTGAAGCATGTGAGTTGTCCCGTGCAGCTCAATGCACTTGCCTCTTGCTGAAAAGTAAGCATGTGCAGAAGTGTTTGCAGGCTCTCGGGTAATTCAGTAGGGATGTGATAAAGTGACAAGTGATCAAAACAGGTCACGGCACTAGGATTGTAAGAATAAATGACAGCCCTCTGTTGGGGTTAAAGTTTTATCCCTTGCACGTCTTGGCTAAATTTGATCTCGAGAGTTTGTATTTCAATTGGAGAAGATTTTCCTAGTGCTTTGGGGAAAAATCCTGGAGATTCACAACCAGCACTGAGATGCTGGAGGGCTGAGCAATGTTTTGTCTGTGGCACCTCCAGCTGAAGTCCCCTTGGGTATGGTCACAAAAGATTCCCTGGCACCAGCAGGGTCCTCCCCAGAATCCCAATGCTAGCCCCAATCTGATAATTATGTGCTAATTGTTTAATGCCCTCTTCCAGTTTAAATTGGATGCAGACTTCAGCTCTACTTTGCTCTGGGGTAGGGTTGTTGTGCACTGGGAAGGAGCTGCCAAATTTCTTGCCTGGTAATGAAGGAAGTGGTTTCTGTAAACAGTTTTTCACAGTGTTAGGAGGATCTCTTGGGCCAAGAGGAGCAGAGCAAATTACGACCATGGCTGCAGTCACATGGGCTGCTTTGCAAACTGGAGCAGCTTGGATGCCTGTGGCATTCAGGCGCTGGATGCGCAGTTAGATCAACAAAGTCCCAGCCCTGCTGCCACCACTGCTGTAGCAAAGGGAGACATCATGTGTCCCCTGGGAGACCTTGTGCTCTTCTGGTGTGTGTGTGGCATCTGTGTAAGTCAGAATATCCTGTAAAGCAAGTACCAACCTTATAAAGAACTGAGTGCTGCACTGATGGGGACAAGAAAGCAAGACTGCTGCTTTTTTTATCAGCCTCCTGCAGTGCCTTTCTCCCAAATGTTGTGTAGAACACCACAGCTACTACGCCTGTATTTGCAGTCCAAGCCCTGGAACTTTGCCCCTAAGACCACCACCCTCTGGCCTGAGCCCTGGCTGGAATCTGGCTGTCTCTACCCAAGCCCGAATGCTCTTGGATGCAGATACTCATGTGATTCCCTCAGCTCTGTTCTTTTAGGTGAACATTATTGCAGGGGCAGGCACTCATTCAAGAATGCTCAGAAGTCTCCTGAAAGCTCAGTTGAAGTTCATATCCAATAGCATCAGTGGAAGAGAAGGAGGATGACAAAAATTTTTTGTCAGAGAAGTTGCTCTTATCTGTTAACTTGGGTGAGGAAAAGCCCCTCACAGATCAGTGCTCAGTCAACAAGAGATCCCCAAGGGAATGCTGATTGTGTAATTAAAATCCTGCCAGAGATGTGCTGCCTTTCTGCAGTCAGGATCTCTTGACTGACATGAAGAGCTGAAGCTCACAGAAAAATGTAGTGGCTTGGGTTGCAAGGGACCTCAATGATCATCAGGTTCCAACCCCTCTGCCACAGGGGCCAAGCCCCCTGCCCATACCCTTTTGGAGGGGTACTGTGTTGCAGGGGTAATACAACGAGCTGGGAACTGGAAAACCCAAACCCTGGAAAGATCTCTTCAGCTCCTTATTTTCTTTCCCCAGTATGGGATGATTCTTGGAAAGGTCTCAGAGATACCTTGAAGGAATTAAGCAAAAAAGAAACTAGGTCTTTTTGTCTTCTATTCCTGCTTGCTCCCTTCCTCACCATGACCAATTCCTGGGATGAGCCCTGAGAAGCTGGCAGGACTGTCAGGAGATGCACTGGTGAGATTGAGGAATAAATGGCCCTTCACCAAGATCAAGGAATCCATGAGACAGCCCAGCCCCATGGAGACATCAGCCCCTCTTCAAAGACAGCAGCAGGCTGGTGGAGACCATGAGGCAGAAAGAGGAGGTGGGGAACATGGATGGGAAGGTGGCCTGGAAGGAATTAGCTGGCTGAGGGCTGGAGTGGCATCAGAAGGACGGCAGCGTGCAAAGCAGCACAGTCCATCCCAGGGATATCACAGCCTAGCAGGGCACTGGGCCATGCGCATTTGTGGTGGGTATGAAGGTGCAGGACTCTCGCTTCTCCTGCCCACATCTGGCCCCTTCCAGATAAAAGACAAACACACAGGCAGCTGGGAGAGCCAAAAGCCAGGTAAAGAAAACAGGCTGTCAGCATGGCTCCGTGTCATTTCCACTTCTAAGACTTTTGATAGAGATTTACTGCCAAGGTTGCCCAGGCTGTAGAATCATTACAAGCTAGCCTTGCTTTCTTTTAACTTCTCATCAAATATCCCTCCTTCCTCCCCCTCTTTTCTGAAGCCACCAGACTCCTGCCGCTGGAGATGAGGTGGCTTTGGGCTCATTCATCACCTCTCCTGTGTGGTGGACCCCAGCCTGGGGCTGGAACCCAGCCATGCTCCTGCTCCAACAGCCCTAGGGCTGCGTGGGGCTCGTGCCTTCACATTGGGTGCAGCCCCAGGCGTCTCCTGGTCTCCTCTCCCCATCAGACAACACGCTGCCCAGCTGGAGGGGGAAGTGTTGACTCTGATTTTCCTGGCTTCCTCATTAATCCTTGCAAAATGCCTCTAAGCCAGATCAGAAGGAATCAGGGGCCTGGAAACTTCAAGCTGCTTCAAGGTATTTCTTATTTTATTTATTTATTTTTTTTAAAGCCTCTCCCTTCCCTTCTACATGCCTGATGTGCAGCGGTGGTCCACATTCCCTGGGGTTTGAAGGCGCAGAGGCAGTGGGGTAAGCCTCCAGTGAGGAGGGATTCCAGTCCAGGTCTGGATGGGCTGTGGAGGGGCAGAGAGAGATCATGCATGAGGTTACCCTGGACCTCAACAGGGAACCCCAGTGAGGGCAATGGGGCTGCACTGTATGACATGCATCTTTGCAAAGACCATGAGGTGCCTTTCCCCAGCCATCCCCAGCTCCATGCCAAAGGGCCTCTGCTGGAGGTTGGAGGAGCAACAGTGGCATGCAGTGACTGCATCAGTTATACCCAGGTGTCCAGGTGTGCTGATGCTTTGAGAAAGGGCTTGACTGGTGCTGGATGCTTTGTACCACTGCTTTGCTCCTATTCCCTTAAAGCCATCATCTTAACCTCCGGTTAATGCAGCAGTGCAAGGAAAGCCCTTCTCTGCTCTGATTTACTCCATGTGCTAGGCAATGACAGAAGGGGAAACTGCTGCTTGAGGTGTTGGACAGAGCAAAGTGTTCAAAGCAGCGAGATCTGATGGGGATGTCTTTGAAAGGCAGTGAGCATCATCCTGGTGGAAGGGGCAACAAGCAAGAGCAAGAAACCAGCAGTGTGCTGAAGCTGCAGATGTCCACTGTGAGATCTAGAGATGTTTCTCCCCTCCATCCTTCCAAGATTGGATGTAGTTTCAAGTTCTCTTTGGTCATTTCAACGCTCCTGCTTGAACTGGGTGTCCTGCCATACCCCATTCCTTCCTGGAAGCGGGAAACATCTGCCACTTTTATAAAGCCTCTAAAAAAAATCAGGTCTCTGACTTCTAAAGCAGAAGGGGATTCTCAAGGAGCTTCAAATATTTAAAAACACAGGAATGTTTTGAAAAGACTCCCAAATGTCCTGTCCAGCAGCACCTAGCAGAAACATACATGCCTGCCTTGGGGTCAGGCAGACACTTGTCCACAGCATGGTGCTGCCTAGGATCATGGGTCACTTCTCCCCATATGCACATGGTCCTTCAGCCTTCTGGGTTGGCTGAGTGTCCAGGCAAGCAGAGCAGGTGAATGCATGGACATGAGAAGCGGGGATTGACCTGATAGAGACATCAGCAAGGCCACTGCACTGCGCTCTGACAGCAAGGTATGGCCACGGTCCCAACTGCTGTGGTGCATGGTGGGGGCACAGTTGGCCCCAGGCAGCAACTCAGAACAAGGGCAATGTAGTGCCACCCTGAGGGGTTTCTGCAACTCAGCACTGGATGTTAGATTCCCTCTGCTGGGTTCCTGGAGCCCTACTTGCTGGCTTCAGCAGCTGGAGTGAGCAGAGGTAAGCAGCAGATACATGGGTGTCTGGTGGGGAGTGATGCTACAGAAAGGAAAAAGATGAAACAAGAACCAAGAAATCAGCACAGGTAAAGCTCATCAGCATTGTAAAAAGCCGTGTGTCAGTAACTGGGTCAAAGGAGTTGGACTCGATGATCCTTACAGTCCCTCCTGACTCAGGATGCCCTGTGATTCTATGATGTGTCCCCAGCTTGTCCAAAGCCCCAGGGTTTTCATGCTTCTCTGCAGAAGATGTGAAGTCTGTCTTGCTGCCAAGGCGAAGAGACAGAGAAGCGGGTGGGCTCTGCTCCTGGCCTTTTTCTCCCCTTCTTTTTCATCCTCTTTTTGGCAAGCAGTCCATGCTGGGGCCGTTTCAGCAGTGCAAGCTGGTGTTGGTCTGCTCCGGTGCAGCAGCTCCTCAGCGAGAGTGGGATTGACAGCTCTGGCCGGCGTACAAAGAGGAGCCTCAGCAGGGCTGGGCATGGGCCAGCAGGATTTACAGGGGAGGCTCGCTCCTCCAGCAAAGTATGCAGCTACTGGCGGCTGGACAAGGCAGCCGTGCACGTACCCGCGGGGGCTGCGGGCAGGGAGAGATCATCCGGAGGTGCTACAAAGGATGGAGAGTGATGGGGAGCACAGGAAAAAGTGTCTGGGGCTCCAATACCAGTGCTGTGGGAAGCACGAGAAAAAGTGCCCATGACTCCCGAATCGTAGAATCATTAAGGCTGGAAAAGATCACTAAGATAATCTAGTCCAACTGCCAACCCACTGCCATCATGCCCACTAAATCGGTGTGACGGGGTGGTGGGCAGTGAGAGAAGTGTCCAGGATTCCTAAATCAGCACAAGCAGAAGGAAAGGTCCTGGTTGAACATAGGTTATCCTAGAGATGCATGGAAAGCCCCATGCATGGGGGTTTCAGAACCAAGAAGGATGCTTTCTGGAGTCTGCAGCCCAGCTTTCTTTCCATCTCTTTCCCCAGGAAGTTCCTGAAGGTGCAGTGCCTGGAGAGTGGGCAGTGGGAAGAGGGACGCTGCATCCCTGTGGTGTGCGAGCCACCCCCGCCAGTGTTTGAGGGCATGTACAACTGCACCCAGGGCTTTGAGCTTGACAGCCAGTGTGTCCTGAGCTGTGAGCCGCCAGGATCACAGGTGAGTGATGGGACAGATGGGGGTCAGCCACACGTTGGACTTCAGAAAATACCAGGGCTCGGCATGTTGGGCATTTGGGTACCAATAAAAGCAAAACCAGAGCTCTTCTCACTGCTGGAGATGACTGTGGTGGTGTGGGCGCCATTCACAGCACTGCACGCACCCTGGCTTAGATTGTCTCCAGACCCTGGTCTCTCTCTGTTCTCCAGGTCCCTATTGTCTGCACCAAGGAGGGCACGTGGACAGAGGAGTTCAAGCTGTGCAAGAGCCTGCAGGGCACCTGCCCACCACCCCCAGAGCTCAACCTCGTGGAGTACAAGTGCGAACAGGGGCACGGCATAGGTGAGGGCAGGAGAACACTCTGCAGAAACCCAGACCCTGTGTTGAGTCAGCCGTCCTGGAGAGCCAGCTGGAAGGTCACGGTGACTCTTCTACTTGGGCCAATTCCCATTAAATTTATGAAAAGTTGTTTTTTCTTCAATTTCCTCTTGAACACAGAGCACTAGGGTGGCTTTTGCCCTGTGCATCTCCTGGTAAGTTAGAATTGGCATTGGCTTAAGCACTTCTTCAGAAGCAAGGACTGACTCATCTCTAGGGCAAGCCCAGCCCTCTGCAGTGCTTTATCTCACCCTCCAACTCTCAGTCTCACCACAGCCTCTGCACTTAATATGACTGCTGACATCTGCAGGGTTAATGGGGCAGGTCCAAGATAAGAGCTGGAGTGACAACTGTGTGTAACAGGGTGCTTTCACCAGACGAGGGACCACATCATCCATTTCTATCTAAAAGACTTGGTTGTTTTTCAGCTGCAATGCTGTCACAGTCATTACATCCCACCTGGCATCACACTGGATGGGACATTAGTTTAAAACCCAAAACTGGCTGAGGCTCAGCCAAGGGTAAACTTGGGAAAGACCTGATGTGAAGCTGGGACTGAGGTTGGGACCCACCTGCTTTGCCAAGTGGGAGTTTTACAGCTTTTTTTCATCTTGGGTCATAGGAAGTCATGGTAGAAGAATTGTTAGAAGTACTTTCTGACACACCAACAAGCAGCCATAATATCTAGGCCAGACATGTTTTCATGTTGGGTCCTACATCTTGCCATCACGGCTTGGGTTCACCTCTTCAGACATGTTTACTTGTTACCTCATTCAGGAGAAAGGTATCAGCTGCAAAAAGCTTCTGTAAACTCTCGCATAAGTCAGGGCTGGGGGAAGAAATTCTCAGCTGTTGGTAGGCAAAGGATCTCCTTCACATGCATCTCTGCCCTCAGTGAGGAGCAGGCATGTTGGCATCCGACACTGTTCCACAGCAGCCTGTTGCCTGGTTCCTGCTGCAATCCCTCAAGGCTCTCTCTCCTTCCTCAGGTGCTGTGTGTGTGCCTTCCTGCATTATCCCTCCCAGCGATCCAGTCATACTGCCCGAAAACGTTACTGCTGAGACTATGGATCACCGCCTGCAACCTACTAGAGTCCAGGTATGCGAGGAGGGAGCATTGCTCCAACAGAGCATTCACCATCCATACATGTGGGAGCCCTCAAAATATTTACAGTGTGGCCAAATCAGTCTTCCCTCCTCTCTATTCAGTGTTTTTTAATACAAATTTCTTTGCTTTCGGTAAAAAGAGGGACAGTAATTTGGATGAAGAGCTCAGAGATGGCTGGTTTTCTCCTTGAGTGCATGCTCAGGAGATGCCTGCTGGTTGCTCATCCTGGCCACCTATGCCCTGATGTCCACCTGAAGCCTGGGATGAGCTCCAGCAGGACGCATCCTGTTGCATATGCAGGTGTAAGGCATTGAAACGGGCTGCCCAGGGAGGTGGTGGAGTCACCATCTCTGGAGGCATTCAAGAAAGATGGAGATGTGGCACCAAGGGACGTGGTCAGTGGGCATGGTGGGATGAGTTGGGCTTGGGCGTGGTGATCTTAGAGGACTTTTCCAACCTTAATGATTCTAGATGTGCAGTTGCTGGGTTTAGACATAGTGGCAAGTCCTTCATCAGTGACCTTTGATCCTTGTGAATGTTACCCACAGCATACAGATCTCTTCCGTAACGCTGCTCTTTGTCCATCTGGACCCTTTCTGGATATATCTCTGTGGTGCTGGTGTAGCAGGGGGTGATGGATGCATGTAGATATTCAAGTTCCCCTTTTCCTAGGCTTTGGTTAGCCCTGGTGGAGGTCTCTGTAGTGACCACATTCATCTTCCCAGATACATCTTGGACCTGCTTCACCCAGGCTAGCAGAGGCCATGCCCAGTCTCTCTGCACCTTGCCTGCTTCATCTGATGCTATGAGGCTTCACACTGATTCTTCTGGTTCATAACCAGTGCCCAGGTCCTCAGTATTTCTTCCTCCTCTTCCGCACACTGAGGATGCTACTGCACAGCCTCCTGCCCTCTGAGACCAAAGCTCAGTGTAAGCTACTGGCTGTAATGTGAGCTTTCCAGGACTTGCAGGATACCTCTGTGAATGAAGCTAAACACAGGAATCCTCCTGACTTTTGGGATGTGCCACACGCGATTGGCAGCCAAGGTATTGGGATGACAGAGCACAGATCAGAATTCATTCCTGGCAGAGGGCAAAGCAGAAGCCCTGGTCCCTGAACACCTGGCAGCTGCAGTACAGCCCTGGGCAGCGTGTCCCTGCCAGGGAGGAGGCATAGCCATCAGCTGGGAGCTGGCTCTGCTGCCAGGACCGCTGGCCACCCCCTCGCCTCTCCCTCCCATCCCTTACTCATTCTGTAGGCAAAACAGCTCAAATAGCTCACATAGTTTGGATCTCCGTGGCACCACTTTCCCAAAATGCAGCTCCAACGGGGTAATATTTCTTAAAATAAAACCGAGATGCAGAAGGAAGGAGGTGGAAGAAAGGAAAACAAACAGCCCTTCTGGGAGCTGGCACCCCTATCCAGGCCTTCCCCTCCCCCTAGGAAGCCGCAGGAGGCCCAGCAGCATCCCCACTCCATGTCTCCATGCTTTTGCAGCAGCAGGATGCCCATGGCGTGTGGGATTGTGGAGCTTGAGTCTTGGACAGATCACCGGGTGACTTGGCCACAGGTTCTCATGCAAGGGAAACGTTTCGGAGAAGTGAAGAGTTGTGTTATTTAAACATTGGCACTACCCCTAGCAGCATCTCTGTGCATGGTCTGCCTTGCTTTCTTCTCTGCCTCCTGCTGTGCTTGTGTTCCCAGGAGCTGCCACACTCCCAAGGTGATGGGGAGGATGCGACAAAGCACACTGGGGCTGCAGAGGCTGCCTGAGGAGGGCACTGGTTTTTTTTTATGCTCTCATTCATCACATCCCACAGCCAAGAAGATCTGGGAACTCATTCAAGTTGTACAGCAACCGCATACAACACATCCAATGGGGTTGGGATCCAAGCATCCTCTGGGGTGAGCAGGAATTGCTCTCTCCACTCTCTCTGTCCCATCCCATCACAGCTGCCTTCCCTACTCTGGCTGAGGACATTACCTCTGGAGCTTGCTCTTGGCAACCTGTTGGTTTGGTCTGAAGACTTGGAGCAAGAAGAAGCTGAAAAATACAGTAGAAAGACAGGGATTTGTCTGCTGCCACTTGCAAGGGTGCTACTACCACCCTGCTCTCTGGCCACCAGTCACTACCCTGGAGTAAATGGGAAGCGGATGGAGATGCCACCAGCCAGCCTGCAGCTCCCTCATCCCTCCCATCACGTACAAACCCAGGAGTAAAGCACCCCATGAAAGCAGATTGAGGCAGAGCTGCCTCATCCCATGCTGAGAGGCCTGAAGTCACGTTGGTGGAAGAAAGACGTGTCCATCCATGTAGCAGCCATGCTGTGCAGGGCATCCTAGGACACTTTCATAGGCCAGCCGTCGTTTTATGGGGCCTCAGATTTCAAAGCCTGCTTGAGCTTTACAAGGAGGAAATTGCCTGTGTGGTGGGGCTTTTTTTCCCCCATATAATCATGCGTGCTCCCAACAGCCCCCTTCTGAATTATGGGGACGAAGTGTTCCAGTTAGATGAAACTCAGTCCTCTGCATTCAGTTCTCATGTCCAGTTGGCTGCAGCTGCTGACTTAAAACCTCATAAATACCTCTGCAGCGTGGGTGAGCGTGAAGCTGGTGTATCCAGACCAGCCAAGTCCAGGGAGTTGAGTTTCCAGGTGTCTCCCTTGTGGACACAGCTCTTGGAGCTGTACAGGATGCATTGATGCTGGTGTCCAGGGACAGCTGGCTGGGACATGAGGCTGGTGCAAGTGGGAAGCTGCTAAACGCAGCACAGTGTGTTGAGATGAATGGAGGACCCCATCTGTGGTGGTTCTGGATGGCTACTTCCCAGCTTGGCTGCTGCCTACCATGTGTAGTGCTGCCAGCCAAATCCAGATCCTGGTGATACTTGCCATCTCTCCTTTTCCTCTTCTGGGAGTTTATATGTATACATAACACATGCATCTATCTCTTATCCAGGCTCTGCTTTGAGCAGTGTTGTCTGGTTTGTGGGCGAAGCTTGGGCTCAATAAATTCCAAAAGGTTTCCTCTGGGCAGAGATGCAGGAAGGTCCTAGGACTGATTGCATTGCTCTGCCTTGTGGAGTTCCACAAGAGACCCTACACCTCAGGGAGCGTGCTTGTGTCCTCCCTCCACCATCTCCCTAACGACTCTTTTCTCCCTCCTCCGCAGCACATCGTATGCACGGGCAGGCTGCAATGGTACCCAGACCCCTCTGCCATCCACTGCATCCAGTCGTGTGAGGTAAGCTCCCTTTCCCAGCACATGGGACAGCTCCAGCCCTGCGGTAGCGCGGACGTGGGGTCTTTATGACCACATGAGGTCTGCGATGGGTTGGCATGGAAAAGGTCTGCTGGTGTTTCAGTGTTTTGGCATTCATTCGGAGCGTGTGGCCGGGGCAATGCTGGGGGTGAGCTGCAACGCGCTGCGTGGCCACAGAATGGGTCCAGGGCTTCGTGCCGCGTTTCCTTCCTCGCACTCCTCTCGGCCAACCCGGGAAGAAAATTCTAGCAAAAGGATTTCACTGGCAAGGGGTATCCCCAAAAAGCGCGTGCTGACTCCAAGCCTGAATATTTCCTTAACCAGAACTGCAGTTCTAGAGTAATACTGGTCCAGAAAAGCCCTGTGTGACTCACGCGTCCAACCAAAACAAGGAGGATTTCCAGCGTCGTGTGTGCAAAACAAACCGCTCCCCAAGAATCTGCAGACAAAGAATTCCTTGCAGAAATTGGTTAGCCACTCATTTGGTTTTGAATAATTACCCGGCAAGAGAAAATCATAGGCAGCCTGGAGTCGGTTCACAGAGGAAATGAAAAATAGGCAGTCTTTGTCGAGCACGATTTGTTATTATGATTGAGGGTAAAAAAAAAATAAAAGGGGGAGGGCGGAGGGTGAAGAGGGAATTTTGGAATGTTGTCTGCTGAAAATTTGGGATTTCTACCAAAAAGGAAAATGTAAATGAAGTCTACACACCAAAAATAGCTTTGGGTTTTGCTGATTTTTTTTTTTAATGAACTCATTTCAATGCAAATGATCGGGTTTTGCTCACTAGTTCTGCCTAGCTCAGCTCTTTGTCAGCTGAAGGGTGGAATAAAGGGCAGTACGTGTGACCGTGTGTGACCGTGTGGCCTCGATGCTGTGGTGGACATGTCCCCAGGGAGGAAATGTGCTTGGCAGGACGTGCAGCAGTTATCTACCAAACCTGGTGGCTTGCGTCTCGCTCCTGTAATCTGTATGGTAATAGGCTGCTGCGTGTTAGAAAGGAGTTGGATGGTTGAGTACCAGAGCTCAGTGGTGGATCCAGTGCCTTGGGAGCTCCATGCCTCCTAAAGCTCATCTCCAGGGCAGTATATTTGAAGCAGGAAGGTTTTGTGGCTTACCTTGGGTCTGCATCTTGAATGTGAGAACCCATAAGCGATGATGGAAAAATGCTAGCTTGTTTGTGTGTGTGAGAGAGAGGCACTGACTCTAAAATCCCAGTGTCTCATAGCAGTGCTCTCTGTCTTCTCATTAGCCACCTAAGCATGCTCATGGTCAACACCAACTCTTTCTGTTCCTGGATGCAGTGCCCTAAAAGCAGGTAGTCTACTCTTGTCATTACTATCATATCCTTTTCTACACCTTTTCTGCTTTCAATTTCCTGTAGAAATGACCGAGCAGTACACGCTCTCCCAGCTGCAGTCTCACCAAATCCCTGCACAAAGCCTATGTGTAAATCTCTTTTGATAAGACCCAGGAACATATCTGTCATTTCTGCAGTTGCATCAGTCTGGCAGCTCAGAGAGACCTGAGGTCAGCAAGTACACCCAGATCTTTCTCTGCATCCTTTGTTTCCAACTGATGAGCTCCAAGCTAACAGCAGATGTTTTACTATCAGCACAAGAGCTTGCCCTTCAATTTTACACAAGTGAATGTCATCCTGTTTCTTTCCCTAGTCCTGAGGTCATCTCTTTGTCAGATATCCTGATCCTGCTCTGTGGAACAATGCCTTCCTCCTTGTTAGCAATTTCATCAGCCAGGCCTGTTTTTAAGGTCACAGTCACTCACTGCAATACTAATGAAGATTCATCCTTCGGGTTGTTTTCTTTACCCTGATGCTTTCCTTTCAGAAACAGCTCACAGCCGCCTCCTCCCTGCTCTCCTCCTTTCTCATGTCTTTGATTACTCTTTTTGTTGAACTGATAAGCCAATCTTTTAATACATGCTTTATAGTAGACATTATATTGCCACAACTCTTCCCTGAAGGTATAGCTCAGAGAGCTGCTAGGCACTGGGAAGATGAGAAGTGTTACCAGTCCACTTCTCTGACCAAAGGAAGTGCCCCAAACTTGGTTTCCATCACATCTGTGCTCTCTTGCACTCTCACCCCCTACTCCCCTTCCTCTCCTGCCTGCATCTCCCTGGGTGATCTTGCAGGCCATTTCACTTGGGGGCCGATATCTTGTGGGCCGTGGAGATGCCAAGCAGTGAGAGTAGGGTATGGATGGAATACAACCCATAACCTGGCCTTGCTGCATGACATCCCCCGCTCATTCCCTTATCTTCTTCATCTGCCTGCTCAAGGAATCTTCTGCTTTTGGAGCACCTCCTGGGTTTGGTGTGTTTCAGCTCGACTTGCCAGCTGTGTGGGATGTCTTAGGCCCAGATTCCTCCCTATCTAACAGTAATCCCTCACTGGAGGCATCTCTTTTGGAGCCCAGCCTCTGCTCTCCACGCCATTCCAGTGGCCTCTCCAGGTCCCCTCTGAGTCACCCTTTGGAGATGCTGTTGTCTCTTACTGAGTGCACTGGATGAGGAATTGCTTTCATCTGGCCGCCTCGTTCAGGGTGCAGCCCTATTCAGGAGAAGTGCAGTGCTCCTGGCTGCTGGCACGGTCCCTCCCCACAGGGTCCTCTTCAGGCTAAGGCACAGTGAGCAGCAGCCAAGCCCAGCTTTGACCAATCCAGCCCCACCTCGCCAACCTCTTGCTGGAAATTTCAAGTCACCAAGTAATGGCATCAGTGAGATTCTCGCTCATCTCTCTCCTCTGCTGGCAGCAGACCAGCCTGCCTGCTCATCCCTCTCACTCCTCTCCCCACCTCCCTTCCCTTTCCATTAATCTGGCCATCCATCTGCCTCCTGTCTCTCGCTGCTCTGCGCCAAGTTCCCCATCCCCTCCGTGTGGAGGCACGTAGTTCAAGGAAAGAGGGAGTGATGTGAACCCTTCCAAAAGCCCATCAGGAATACAAGTTAGCACCGAGACGGTTTGCCTCTCAAGGGCCAGCGGAACATCTCATCCCCTTCCATCCGTAGGAAAACAGATGGCAGCACTGGACGGAGAGGGGAGGGGGCTTGGGGCTGGGAGGAGGAGGAGGGAAACCACTTGTCCTCATTGCTGACCTGGTACTGTGTGAGTCCATGCATGAGGGTAGCTAGTGCTTGTCACACCTGGGAAAGAAAAGCAGTCTCCAGTCCGCCAGCTCTGCACTCTCCTTACCCTCACTGCAGGAGAAGAACACGGTGGTTCAGGTGGAAAAGCCCACCTCTTTTATCACCGGCATATTCACAGGATGGAGTAAGACCACCATCCTGAAGAAAAATGCAGGCTGCTCTTACGGTGATCAAGCAGACATGGGCAGCCAAGCCCTTCTGCACCATTTCCACTTGCACAGATAGCGAAGGGTTAACTGTAGCAGGTGTAGGCACCCTTTTTGCCTTCTCAGTGGGGAACACCTGGGGTTCTGGAGCTGGCCTGAGCTCCCAGGCTCTGCCTGCCCTGCCTAAGGCCTCCTGGCTGGGCTCTGAGCAATCCTGCTGGGGGACAGCCAGGGACATCGGCACGAGGCCACCACGGGTGATAGCAGCCCATGGCAGGAGGCTGTGGCTGGCGCGAGCTGTCAGGGATTTTGCAGGTCTTTTCTCCATGAGGACAAGGTCTTGCTGCCCTTGCGTGCGCTGCCGATCATGTTATCACGATCATAAAATGCTAAGCTGTTCTCTCTTTTGTGGTTTTCCTGAGTAATTGCAGTGGAAATTATGAGTTAGGGATGGAGGCGTGTTTGTGGCTGCAGGCTGTTCTCGCCTCTCGTGACTCAACAGGTAGCTGGGACCCAATGGGTCTGTTGCCTGCAACATGGGTCCTCTGCTCTTCTCAGTGCTGAGCGCAAAACCCTCCCTTGGCACCTCCATGGCTTGTGTCCAGCATTTGGCAGCTGTACAATAGCTGCCAATCCCTCTGACAGCATGTACAATAAAGACGGGGGAGTCTCACCTAAAATCAGGGTCCCACTGTAACTTGATGCAATGGGGGATAGGATGGGACCCTGAGCAAAATGGGGCCGCTCAGCAGGTGGCTGCCTCTTCCCCACATCCATGAGACATTTTGCTGCCACACCACAGGGGCTCTTGTGTTACACTGTGCTCAGCACAAGGAACCAGGCAGAAGTATAATGCTGGAAGAGGCCTCTTCTGTGCTCCTGGCCCATAGGGCAGTGGGGTGCCCCAGCTGCCCTGAAAAGCAGCCAGGTATCTCAACACGGCCATATAAATTCACTCTCACAGGCAGCCCAGGGAGGTGTTGGAATCACCATCCCTAGAGGTGTTCAAGAGCCGTGGAGATGTGGCACTGAGGGACGTGGTCAGTGGGCATGGTGGGGGTGGGTTGACCATCAGACCATGATGACCGTGGCAATCCTAGAAATCTACTCCAAACTTAATGCTTCCTCCATGAGAGCATTTTGTGACTCCTTTATCCAGTCTGCCTTCTTCCTCTGTCTGCCACCTGGCTTTGAAAGTATAGAGAAGATCCTTTTGCAAGAAGCAGGGTGACTACTGTTCCTTCAGGTGTTCCACCAGAGCTCGCAGGGCCATGTTCTCCAGGTGAGCACACACCTAACGAGTTGCCCAAGACTCTGGCACATTCCCATGTAGGACAGTGTGTGCCATGTCTCAAGAGAATGTAGTGAAGCAATCCTTGTGACTAAACAGAAGTTTGTGGTCATTGTGGGCTTAGACGCCGCCCCTGGCCTGAAAGGGGAAAGCCCTGGGTGGCAGGCAGCCCTCTAGAGATGGAGCTGTCTATAGATACCTGCTGGGCACATTTCCATGATGCTTACCTCTGGCTGTGGGCTGAGCTAGCACAGATTGCTTTTCCTCCAGCATTCCCCTGAGGTGTGCTTTTCCTGCCCTCCATTAAGGTGGAGTTTGTTTTCTTAAGAGGCAAAGCAAATGGAAGGGCACCCAGAGACCACACAGCAGCACCATGC